GCTATATGCTGGGATGGATTTCAGGCATTTTTAAAAAGATGTTACTTTTAAAGCCTACTCCCATAGCCAACCCCCTCAAAGCATTTACGCGGATGCATCAGATCTATCCTTTTTTGTACAAAACATCCTTACTTCAACACCTATAGAACCACTGTCCCTAAAAAGCCGAACATTTTGTCTTCTTCAGCTGGTTATGGCTATCGGAAGAAATCAACATATTACCCAGAGAGGAACAAAAACTTTTACCGAATGTTTCGTGGTCTCGCTGGGTATTTTGTTTTATTTGTTTACCAATTGGGGTTTAAGAGAGCGGTAATATTTTTGTTGTTTGGTCTTTGGTTATCTTTGACAACCAAAAACAAGCCTAACCATAGGGTTTTACATTGACGGTGCCAAAGGGCGAGCATGAGAAGACAGTTTCAGATGGTTAGGTTGAAGAAAGCCACTCGGCATAATCACCGTAAAGGCAGTTTCTTTCAAGAACTTTATAAAATTCCCTGCAGATGGGTTCGGATGTGCAAATGTTAGATAGATAGGCAGTGCTGAACCGGTGATAGATGATGTCGAGAATGCGATTCTCAAGAAGCGCCAATTCCGTCCGGTTACCATGATTGCAAATGCCACTAATTATAATTGCACATGAGTGACTGGATTACATGAGGTTAATAAAGTTAGTCTATTTTGTTGGTATTATAGAAAATGTGACATTGTAATCCATCCATTTGCTGAAGTAATCAATCCCTAGAACTAAAATGACAGTATTACACCTCACTATTTCGCATTTTGTCCATTGCAAATTTTCGTCTCTATTCATACTCCCGCGGACCAAGAACTGGTTATCACTACCTTCTGTGTTATCCCGTGAAAACATCTGTGTACGGTAAATTTGATGCAGTTGTCGAATAAATTTCCAGAGTATTTAATATTCTATGCCCTCCAATGTGTCTTATTCGGTTAACGACCCACGCGCGGTCCAGTTGATTTTTTCATCTTTTTCAATGTTCCGAATAACTATTCAACTCTTCAAATTTCGCCGTCAAGATAATCATGAAAAAGCCAAGCTTTATTATGCCCTTCACTTGTTTCTTTCCAGATTCAAACCCTTTTTTCATGTAAGCAAAAGCTCAGACCGTTGTTGATTATAGATTTTAAAAATTAGACAAGACTCCCCTGTTGCTTCCTTATTAACAACTACGTTCAAGAAAATATGCTTTTTCCAACTGACGTTAATTCTTCGATTACCTACATCTACTCTTTTTTCATTTTTGTAGATGTCGAATCCATTTCTCGAATTTAACACGACTCTCCTGCGGTAGCTTTCTCCAGAAACATTCAAGAATCTGTACTTCCAGTCACATTTACCGGGCGACTTCGTCGTGTTGTTCACCCGATCGAATCATATCTCAATTTTACGAGTAAGCATCTCAATGGGCTACCTTTGCCATTTTTGTACAGTGTGTTATCCAGGTACGAATGTCACAGAAAGTGCTTGGTCAAAAATTCTGTAATACAGGTTCGTTTAATGCAAAACAATGTGAAGTTCAGCAGTTTGACGAAAATTCACAATCAAATAGGAATATTTGAGAATGCCGTTATCAATTGATTTAGGTCATAAAAACCAACATAACCTCGCTGTTCAAGCGTTTCACTTTTATGACGAAGTTTAAAAGTTGAATTACCAGAAAGGGAATTTTGTTTCACATCAACCGCCTAATTCATCCCTCAAAAGTGAAGAAAAAACACCCAGTTGGATAAACATTCGTAAATTCTGGGTTGCTTTAAATGCAGGCGAATTTCAGTGGATTACGACTTCACCCTACAGATTCCAATACACCAGAGTTAACACAAGACCATCCAACAACATCACTGCTTTTCTGCTGGCAGATGTTTTCCAAACGGGACTAGTTTTGTTCGCTGAGAAGTCAGTGGCAGTTTTACTTCTACGTACAATGAGATTATGAGACAGTTTATTTGTAATTCACTAATTCACAAAGGAACCAGCTAAACTTTCTTTGAATCGGGCTGTCGAACGCGAACATTTCTACTTATGATTTGACGCTACTCACCAAATCATACTGATTACCAAGTTCTGGTTTTCACCCTTAGAAGTTCCAAATCCTGTGTCGTCTTCAATGAAGACGAAATATGATAGGTAAACAATGGTAGATGAATTAGTCCATCTCATCGCGAAGCTAATTTCAAGTGTATTACTATGTTTTTCTTGTAGGTTGTTTCAGATGGTTTTATCCTACTTGCGGTCTTCAAATGTTTTCACTTCCAAAGCCACAACTTGTTTTTTTTGAACAAATTTAGGACGAGGTGCAAAACAGAATATGGTACCGATATGGGTTTTTAAGTTCATATTTTGTCTTCATTTATCTGCAATTTTTAAAACAGCGTCCATAATCGGTTTACCTAAACGTTACTCGGATTATTCAGGAAATTGGGTTCAAGAATTTAAAAAAAACCTCGGTAGATCTTGTCTTCCGATGCACTGAAGTCAGAATTATATTTCTTCAATAAAGTCGGCTTATTGCCTGCGTTTTGACTCTAACATAATACTTTCATGCACTTTTCATTTACCCAAACTCCTATTTTTTTAAAAAAGAATGTCCAATCGATCGACTATGAGCTGAACGGCTGAGTTTTCTCTGCGTTCTGCGGAATACAACTAAGGATATTGAAGCATCGAGATTAGCAAAGGATGATTCAGTTGATGCAGGAGAGAGGTGCGTTTATCTTTCTTCTACAGCCCACAGAGATCTCAAGAGTACGCACACTTGGTAAAGGTTTGGCGTTAATTTGTGATTTAGCTGAAACGCCCCAATAAAAATTTTAAGTTTACAGTGGGTCACATTAAGTTTAAAAATACTTGCACGGAGCACTTACCCTATGCTTATATGGCAGCTGAAAATGCATGGGCCCTAAACCATCGGTGATGTGCTTTGAAGTGACCTCAAAGACGGCAGAATTATATCAACAATAAAAAAGGTGAGAAGGGGTTTTAAATATAACGGATTTGGCTGACCTTTTGCAAATAAGTAAGCCTACATCAGCAGCTCTCTTTAATGCTACTTCCTAAAGTGGGCTTCGTCAGATAAAACGTATCTCTATAAACTTCAAAGCATTACAACAGGACAGCTGCATTTTATACACTTAGGTAGGATACCAATGCTACTATAAATTTCTGGGGAGTAATAAAACGGTACATGTTGAACAAGTACAGCTGTGTTGACAGTTAACGTGCCTATGAAATGGGTAATCAACACCCTCTATAAATATCACTTCCAGGATCGGTTATTGTAAGTTGGTCGCGTCAAAGTGACTAATTTCTCTGACTTTGAACCAGGAGTTAGCTTTGAATGCATGCTTTGTTTTTACCGAATGACATCCAAAAGACTGACTATGTGAGGTCCATTGTGATATTGAGCAACCTGACGTCTCTTTTATTTATTTACTGTTGATGAAACCGACAGTAGACCAATACTAGCTCGGCTCTTAGTGCCAACCACCGTACCTAAGCAGTGTGTAGCCGAATAACATTTCAAAACCAACTGATTCTGTCTCAAGAGATAGTCTTTCGAAAGTAAAAGCAAGTAAAAAAGTCAGTAAATATATAAGGTGATGGGCCTAATCGGTATATCATTCATTATCCGGGTACACTGATTAAATAGACTATTAAAGATCATTACAGTGGTCGAGTTTGATAGTTTATACAAGTTCATACAGTGTACTAGCACACTGGATAAAACCAAATATAATGTACACCTTCGGACGAGTCGAGGAGAAAATGGCTTCTTATTCTGACCTATTAGCAAGGTTCGTGACTTGATATTATTAGGGAGTAATTAGGAAACGGTAAATTTTGCATCTCAAATGCTTCTTCAAGAGTGGATGGAAGGCCTGTGTTCATTAAATTTGGTATGGCTGAACGCAGTATTCATTTGCATTTAACTTTACCACGGTTGATGTTTAATGTTATTACGCAATGAACATTTTGTCAAAAAGGTTAAACGTCTCGGTCCTGTGTTCAAGACCTCACTCTTTCTGTAGCGCCAGTTGACTGAGCTGTGTAACAGATCTCGTTGGAATGTGATTATCTCATGTGATGCTCCGTATCCACACACTTCTATCCTATCGCATGGAATACATTAGGTTGAAAACACACTGGTAAAGGGTGTCTAAGGCAATTCGATCCTCGTAAATCACGTTCCTACTGCCTTATTCATTAAGTGTGCTGTCTATGTAGTTTATGAATAAGACGTTTTCCGAGGCAAATAGCTCATTACTGGGACAAAGATATGTTGGAAAGACTCACCATCACAATGGGTCGTGGCAAAACAGACGTACATGTGTCCAGACTTCGAAACAAAGAACTCAGGAAACATTCAAAGAAGAATAGGGTGAACGAAGACACTTTGACTTTCACCGTTTTGCCAAGTTCCATGCAAATAGTAGAGACAATCCCAATCTCAACATATCAAACTTTTCGCATTAGTATCTAACGTGAATTAATCATTACAAACTCTAAGCGAAACTTCGCAGTGAATCAAAGCAGACCTTATGCGTTTTTTCGGCCTGTATTGTGCACTTAATTGTACAAGGCTGGGCTCAACGGCTTGTCATGCAAAATGCGTCCGCTTCGTACTGCTGAACTAGCTCAGGTCTAATAATAAAATACAAAACATAAAAACTCCTGCCTCAATGACGGTTCTACACGTTAAACACAATCGAAGACCCCAAGTAAGGCAAGCATAACAGTTGAAACGCTGGTTACTAAACGGGTGTTAAAATGCTTTCGGAACTGCTGAGAGAATGTTTGAGAAAAAAATTAATGCACTTTTGTTGAACACGTCGATTCCCCTAACCATCAAACCAGCTGCACCACCACCTGCCTGAAGGCAGTGTCGCCGTTCCAGAATCTACCGGAGGGTGAAAATGTGATCGATGCGTCGTTTTGCAGGATGGAACCCATTTCGGTTTTTACCTCTTGTGTTCAGCAAAACTTCAACGGATGAGACCAGAGATCACACTCGATACCGCAGCTACCAGGCTAACGCTGCTGACGTTTTCACAGGTGGTTCACGTACCGTTTTCAAAGACAGAAATAGCTGTCGACATGCCCCTTTCTGCGGAAGTTTCCTGTTTACACCAGGTGAGCAACCGGGAATTCTTCATCTACTTTCAGAGCGCTGGATACAGACCGCACCGTCCTGGTGACCTATAAGGTTCTGGCAGGAAACTTTCGTGTCTAATTTTTTCTCCTGACGGGTGATTGAAGTTTACATCCATTGGCCGCATACGATGTCTCCATGGTTTATGTTATAGGTTTCGAGCTAAACTGTTCTTCGAAGTGTTTGACCCATAATACTAATGCAATCGAGCATTTGTTTGAACATTTCTAGTGGCTAGAAATAGGTCGTGGCCAGTGAGACATATTGATTCCAAATCTGTTGACCGGATATTATTCCATGGAGTTCAGAAGACTGACTTGGGTATGCATGTCGCTCGTATGGATGGCAGTTTTAATGCTCCTTGACTGACCAATTATTCCAATCAACTGTGTCAGGAACGCAGTGCAGTACAGACAGTACAAACAGGTACGGGTTTCAATTTCAAGCGGTACTGAACATTATTAACCGGGCTAATCAGAATGCGCAAAGAACATTTTTCACTGGAATACAACCCATAAGAACGCTTTCTGCTCTGACGCTGATTGCAGATTCACCAAACACACGAAGAAAAAAGTGCAAAACAACTGAATTCATCCTGGACACTAAGCTGCATGAACGCGCTTGAGTCCTGTATCCGTGTTTCAAAGACAGCAGACATTGAGTTTTGTGTAGAGTCTGGGCAAAATGGCTTGTTTGCCGATGTGACATAAAGTGAGGATTTTGAGAGTTCCTTCATGAAAATTTTCCCGTGGACCGAACAGTATTATTTGGGTTAAAACAAAACAGAGGTTTGACGGAAACGCAAGAGTTGCACATGCCTGATGACAGCGATAACGCTCATATATTCCTCCAAAAAATGTTTTTAGTTTGCTAATGGTTAGCTGGACCCATAATAAAAAATTTCACAACTTCATTTCTTTCATAAAACATCAGAATAATTAGTCGATAATTTATTTTTTGATACAGCAGATGTTTACCCAGTCACCAAAACTGTCCTCCGGTGGCGTCTTCTCATCCAAAAGGTATCGTAAAACCCACAAAATTCCCAAAAAGTACACTTTTTGTTCTTGCTTGAAATACCATTACCAATCGCAATATAGTCATCGGGCTAAATTGGCCCCCTTGGACTTTTCTAAAAAGTCAAACCTACAATAGTTATGAATAATTATTGGCTCTTGTCGCACCCCCATGTTGCTGAGCATCATCAGCAGTCTTAATTGACGATGATTAAACTGATTACCTTGCATTTGGCAAAAACATTACTCAGTTAGTCTTTAATTGAACAGCCGCGCGATCTGGTTGAAATTAACTACTCCATCCTGGGAAATAATTGTGGACACACTATACTCCTAGGGCACATACTGCAATTTACGCTTAAATCAACAAGCAAGTCGCCTGGGAATCATATTTTACAAGTTCTGAAAACCACACAACAAAGCAAGAACTACGTGACTGAAGAATTTCAGTGCCATGTTTTCAATATTTGTCCTACACGTTGAAGATCATTTTTGGATTGTAAACTGTTTCCAAGATGGAATTCATGTAAAAAATTGCCTCCCTAACATCGTCGTTGGGAGAGTTTGAAAGGGTCTAGAGTTGCACATGTGAGTAATTAGGATTCAGTAATGAACTGCTGAAGCTCGTAAGAATGGACGAATAATTCGTGGACCGAACTCAGACAATTTCGATATCAGTATAAGTTCTCAAATGAGTCCATCGATTGTGCCTTCAGTGTGCTAACTTTGGATGATTCTAAAGTATAAGGACATTTCTTAAACTTATCACTTAGGAAATACTTTATTTCAGACAGCATAATGTGTTCCTGACGATCTACTAGGCAGACCCACCGAATAGGAATATTCCTCCCTTTTAGTGTCAAGAAGATTTATGGGCGTCGAAAACTCGGGAAGATAAAAAGGCCAACATTAATTCATCGTCACGTACATGCTAGAATTAAGATTGAGTGCGCATCGACTAGTCGCGTTGGTACATGGATTTTTCGCACGTCTCTATGGCGTAAATACGGTTAAGGAAAACTATCAGTTTGCACCCCGAAATACGGTAAATTGAATTCCACTTGTTTACCCGCCCTCATGACAACCGGCAATCAACGGTTGCCTGATTTCATATTATCTTTAATCATGCATCCCAATGTTTCGGATCCTACTCCTGTGGATAAACATCATTATCGTCAAGGGTGCCATAGTGTCGCTCTTTGGTAACACGACCAATGCGGATGACAAACGCAGATGTGATACTAAGCTATTGTCATTACCCGGGGACTTCATTAATTAAGCCCAAACTAAGTAAGTCGTTTTTTTCGGTATCATTGATTAGTTAGTGATTGACTAGATTTGTACGGTTTGGATCACGTTTTGAGAACGCTTCCCTAGTAGTAGATTTGGAAAGTGGCAAATTTCCAAATAAATTTGAGAATGAAACTCGCCGGATAAATATGTATGTTAACTATGTCTGGATGTTGATTCGGACGGCGCATAGCTGCAGCCAAACGCCCAACATGATAGACCACAGAAGGTTTTGTTTTGGTGTCACCTACAGATGATCTAACTAATCGATTCCTTCGTTTAGAAGGTGAGTGACTCGTATTTCAGTAATTTCAAATATTCCCAAATAGCGAAGTTCTGATGATCTCGGTTTTTCGGTTTTGCATAAATGGGCATGAATATTTTTCTTGTATTTGGTGTGCGTCCACTTGTTCACTTTTCTAAATTCGGCACTCTAACAGTTAAACATCAACGAATCTGTGATAACGTGTGATATGGAGGCTTGTCAATCTCGGTTCTGGAGCTTTCACACCAGGCCAAGAATTCCTGAACTGGTAAAGTTAACAAAAAACATATCTTGAGGATGAGCCGGACACACACAAAAAAAGAATGCGTGCGCCGTTTTAGAGGAAGAGCAATCAGACTATGAGACATAAGAATAAATTTCGCATGACAGTTTTGGAGATGAAAATTCCAACCGCATACGAATAAACGCTTACAATTCAAGAACACTGAGCAGCTATATAATGAAATTTTATACGCTTGAAACGGTGTTTCAGCAAATGTCCCATGCCTCGAGATTGTGTTCGGACTTCGGTTATGTATCCCGGTCGATGTATGACTTTTGTTGAAAATATCAAGTCTTCTCTGAGGAGGTGATTTAAATCATGAATTAAGAACTATCTAAAATAACTGAATTTTTGAGCAATACACAGTCGTCCTAAAATGACCAATAACATACTCGAGAGCTGGGTGAAATCCACTCTAGCCGGTTGAACACTAGCCAATCAGATCGTACGCTGATTATCTGAGCCTTAATATTAACGAACGAACGGAAAGTACCCAACAAAAGTGAAGGAAAAACGTGGAGTCTATAGTAAGTTGTAAAAGTTTTGCTTACCTTTGATTTTGTGTGAAGCAGCTTATTCCACGGATTTGAGTGAACTGTAGCGCAAGGCAAGAAGCCGCAGCATTTTTCTTTGTTGCTTTTAAATTGTTTTCCATTGTTCTCCCGGGAAAATCGTGTGCATGGTAACTGAACACCTAAACGTCAATTACGATTCATTTGGGAGAGGAAATTTGGGTAAAAATGTCCTCGGGTTCTTCTTGCATTGTGTTGCAAAGGTCAGATGCCTTTCGCCCAAAATCTGTGAACCCCAGTCGAACAGGTTTGGTGAATCGCACCACTAACATATCTTCCAAAAGATTTATGGGAGGCTCTCACTTTGATATTTTTGTTGCGCACGGTTTAAAACACTTGAATAAGTTTTTTATCGCAATCAGGATTCACGTAAAACTAGCGCTTGAATATACGCACCTCTGAAGGGCCCATTCACGAAATGGAGCAATTAACTTACCTATTCCACAGATCTCAATGCTGCCAGGCTAACCCATATCACAGGAAATAAGTGTACCTTAAAGTGCACCTAGAGAAGCAAGGAAACTATAGAAAATCTGGCTTTTTAGAGAGAACATATGTACTCCCAATTTACTGCAGATGCATGGTGTTTTATCAGCCATGGCAAATAGTCAGACATGATAAGGCTATAAAATTCAGTCACCGTTAGCCCGCCAAATGAAGACTTATATAGGGATAAAAGGATGTTTATGTATAAAGACAGGCTTCTGAGCCACAGCGGATTAGTATCAGCTTCTCTGTTGCTAGTCAAACTACCGATGCTTGTGTATAGTAACGTAGTTTTGGCCCAAATGGAGATAAACCTCTGCCACCCTTTTACATAGTGATGGTATAAGCCCGATCAATGACCCCCTGGTATTGCTGCTAGAATGGTGCTAGATCTACTGACTAAAAATTTACTTTTTTACATCATGCCTCGAAATGCGCAGCACATTGTGAATGAAAATTTTTGGACAGTGATCAAGTGGCAAATTATATTTTACTATGACATATCTCCTACTATATATCAAATATTATATCATATTGTCAATTTTAGTCATTATACTAATTGGCTCTCAAAAAGCATTCGAATTTCGCGCATCCATATTAAGTTAGAAGTATCATTGCATTTTTTTGTTCACAAAATTTGTTATTAACACTTACCACATGCATAATACTAGCTGATCCTCGTACTGCTACTATGGAATGTGATAAGGCAAATGTAGAAGTTGATCAGTTTTGTAGAATACGTCAACCTCTGCTTCGACTACATCACGGTAAACTTCGGGAGAAAAAGCGACAGAGTTTAGCATTTTGTCCAATACACGACACTGACCAACGTGAATAAGGAATTTATCACTGAAAAAATTCTAAACCCCGATATAATCAGGCTAATGATGTATTATGCCGATTTTTAACATTTAAAATCCAAATGGTATCATCACATTGAACTGTTTTTTCTATAAGGGTCATAGCTGTAAAGCCTTGTTTGTTGGCGAAGAGGTTTGCCAGTGACTTGAATAAAATTATGTTGGGATATTGCAGTTGAACCCACTGTAGCCTGCTTGATAAAAAGTAT